GCAGACAGTTCTGCTGGGCTAAGCTGTGAGCATCCTAGTCATGCTGGCAAAATTCCAAGGGTGGAGAACCGGGCCCTCTGGAGGTACTATACTTTTATGCAAATAACACATACCTTCTGTGTTTGCTTGCCGACCACATCCTATCCCCCACCCCCACCCCAGATATTTTCTTAGGCCCCCTGCTAAGCCAGTTTTGTTTTTACATGCTGCTGTGAAGAAAAATTAGCATAGAATGCTTGCTAAAATGCTTCATGGGGGGGTAGGGGTAGGGGTAGGCCTGCAAACAAACCCAGAAGGCGCCAGTTATTTGCTTAAAAATACGGTAGCCCGCTATTACTAGGAAGCTCTAAACTTTATTTATTGATTCATTTATTAAGTAAAGCTCTTTCCTTATATGAGGTTGACAGACCTCTACCTGCTGTACTTTACCCTCAGGTTTTTGTTTTTTTTTTAATTTGCCCTCTGGAAAAAAAACCAGTTGCCTTGGAGTTGCCTCTGACTCATGGCGACCCCATGTGTGTCAGAGTAGAACTGTGCTCCAGAGGGTTTTCAGTAGCTGATTTTTCAGAAGCAGATCACCAGGCCTTTCTTCCAAGGCCTTGCGGTTAGCAGACGAGCACCACCCAGGGGCTCCTTGCCGTGGAGCTACCCAGATGAGTCTCTTCCCTCCTCATGAAGGCTCTCAGGTTCCCCTGGCGTTCTTTTCAAGTTAAGTCACTTCAGTCTTGCCTGCTCTGATCCAGTTTGGCATTCACGTACCATCCATTTCCCTCATCAGTGTGCCCCTTCCAGAATGAGGCTCACAGAACCAAAAGCCTGACTCCCAAGGGAGGTCCTGGGTGATAGAGTGGGCAGGGCCATCAGGAGTTGTCCGTCACTAAGACCTAGGACTGAGAGGCATTGGGCGGGCTTCCACCCGCCTGCAGTTGTGTGCAAACCCTTGCATGTGTGCATTCTTCGTGAATGACAGTTCATACACATCACCAGATTATCAAAAGGTGGGGAGGGGATCCAGGACCCAAAAATGGTCAAGAACCCCGGCCCAGATGCTTTACTTCTGTAACTGCAGAAGTAGAGTGTTCCTAGGTAAAGAATGAAGAGTTGTCGGTGTGGTGAAAGGACGATGTGTGATTCCGTCTCTTTGTTTGAATGTTTTCTTCCAGTACGAGTATGCTTTGAGACATTTGTACGTGCTGGTCAACCTTTGTGAAAAGCTTTATCCAGTTGACAGGTGAGTCAGCCTTTGAAGGGCATTGAAAGTGTTGATGTCTCCTACCTCCACCTTTGTTCTAGAGACATCTGCCAGTGAAGTCAGAAGAGCTGCATTTTCAGTAATAATTGTTGGGGTGACTGACGTAGACTACTACCTGTTCCGTGTTGGATTATGTTTATCATTTCTTCCACATTGACACGGCTCATGAACTTCTTCCTGTCTCTTACAGAATAAAATTGGCCATGGACAAGGTGTGCCTTGGTTACTACTGAAAAGCTGCCTTGGTGATGCTTTTCCGAGTGTGAACACCTCTGCTTAGAATGTGTGACTAGCCTGAGACTGAAGAGGTGGAGCCAGGAGGAAGTTGCCCCTGCCTGCCCCCGGCCCTCCTGGGGAATGCAGTCGGGCCACTCCCACAGTCGGGCCACTCCCGGACCTTTCTCTCGCCTTTACCTCTTTGCCCAACCTTCTACAGGTTGTATATGACACTCTGAAAAACTACAGATTTGGGTGGGTAAAAGTCTATGCTGAAAGGCATATTTGCTTTTTACGGGGTTCTTTTGGCCACTACTTTAAGGAGAAAGAAGTTCACTTAGGCTTCTGTAGCCAGTGAAAGAGTCTTGGCTCCAAGGAATTTGAGACGAGTTGTAGGTGAAACCTAAGTCTTCAGAAAGAGTTTACTGAAGAGGACTCTATGCCTCAAATGGACATCTATTTTTAGAAAATACTATTATAATTTTGATTGATTTTGTATTTTATTTTGCAATATTGGACAAATCTTAAAAAATAAAGGTTGATAACTGAACCCAAGTATTAATTTCTGGCCCCTAACTTTGTGGTATGTGCTCCTGGCGCCTCCTAGTGGCCTTATCGCCTCCCCCCCGCTAACTGACTACCACTGTTTCATATTGTCTATACTCCTTGGACTTTCTAGCCTCCTGCCTTTGCTTCTTGCTGTTCCTCTGCCCTGGAATGCCTTTCCCTTCATCTCTACAGAGCCTCAACGTTTATCTCTTCTTATGCTGAA